TCTAAAGATAGCTTTTTTTAGGTTAACATGAACATGATGAATGATAAAAACATATTGTTCATCAAAAACCCTTGATACAGAAGAAGAATAAAATGTCTAAGGCTTGGTAAGTTTCAAAAAAGATCATATACATTTTCAAAGATCTCTTTGCAAAAAGTTAAAATTCCTTAAAAGTGTTTTCACAACATCATGCAACCTGGGCAGTAAAAGATGTACAATGACAGACAGGGCATATCAATGTAGTAAATTAAAAAGCTTCCTGTATAAATCCTCCAAAAAATATATATGAAACCCTAACCCTATCTCTAAAGCCTGAAAGGTTTCAATGGCATTGAACACACACACACACACACAATTCTAAAAGTTGTTTTTAATCAAATCAATATTAATTAAACATTTTCAAGATAGTATCACAATAATTAAGGGTGGGGCTTTATTCCATTGGTCTGAACTAACCATGCTCCAAAGAAAGTAAATAAACATTGAAGCCTGTTCATGTTGTAAAATAATGAAGTTAAGAAAGAAGGATAACTACTGAAATCATCTCCATTATCATGATTATAGAAATATTTGGTTGTTGCTGAATGCAGACAAAGTCAGAATAACTGAAGGTCTTATTCAGAGATCCCTAAGCAATACCTGTAAAGACCAATCTGTTGTGCCCTCAATGCCCTTGGCAAAAAAAAAAAAAAATCTTTCACCCTTCTATTTCCATAACATCAAAACTAAAAATACCCATGAGAACTAAGAATACCCATAGGAATGACTGTGTATGTTTTTTGGTTTTATGATGCAATATGATATATCAGATGATTTGCATAAGCCCTAAAGGCATTTATAAATGCATAAAATTATGAGAATAACACCTTTTTCAAGAGATACAAAATATTTTCTGTGAAGTAAGTTATTGACTTGACATTAATTTCACATTTTTTTTTTGTCAGTGACCTTGAACTTGCCAAAATGACCTTGAATTAAATAGAGACACACCCCTCAGGTCATTGACAATCATTTTACAAAGTAAAAGCTTGCAATTAGCCTTTATTTAAGGAATAACTGTCTTATTTTTCGAATTTCATGATGTGATCAATCGATTGGCTTGCATTATAAGTTTAACATAAAATTATCACGCAAGCCAATCGATTGATCATTGTCATGAAATTGAAAAATCTGAACAGTTATTTCTTATATTTACATGCTCTTGATTCCGCCAATCCACATGATACAAGCCCCACTTCTTGTCTCTATTTGTCCCACCCTGCACATGATTTTTTTTTTACTGTGCCTATTGATGAACCAGTACATTGATGAGGAAATAAAGTACATTAACTATTTGTAATTTTATCTCGGAGAAAGACATTGGAAATGTAAATATTTGAGATTATTTTTACCTTTTTTTGCTAATGACCTTGACTTGGTAGATGGCAGTGTGTAAAGGTCATGACACAATCTCAGGTAGGTCATGGCCAATCTTTTTATCAAGTAGAGATTCCAATAATTCTCCTTATAAAGGTAAAACCCAGACAAGATTGCACTGACAGACGGACAAAGTGAATAAAATATTTTCTCTAAAACTTTCCATTGGGGGGGGGGGGGGGGGGCTATTAAAAGAAATATCAAGTATCTTGAACTGCAATATCAAATACCATAAATATGTGTGGAGTATGGTAGTACTTTAAACATTTTGTTATTTTGTTAAAACTGGACAAAAATTGTGAGTTGGCTTCTAGCTAGCTTTTAATTGTTTATAGACAATTGAATCTAAAAATCAAACCTTATAAATGTTTAACTTTTTTCCTCCTTACAAACATGCAAAAATTAATAACTCAAAATCATGTTTCTCAAATTACATCCTCATCATCATGAACTGTCTATTGGTTTTGCTGTATCTTGATTAATTATCAACAAATTATTTTTTTAGTCCTTCTGATTGGTTAGAGGTAGTGTGTAAAGAACAAAGAAAATTTTAAAGTTAATCTATCACTTACTAACAATAATATCCCAGAAAAGCACATTATAATCAAATTCAAATTCAATTTTCTATTTTAAAATCTATATTAATTGAAATGATTCAGTTCATAATCAAAACAGAACTCACAGAGACTATATAAGGTTTACAAACAATTTGGCTTAAATCTATTTCTGATATATCTATAATGGAGTTACATGCACTTAGCAATATCAGTTTCCTTCTTAAAAAAACAAAACAAAACAAACTTGGCCCTGCCTAAAGGCCCCATCTAGACTAAAGGAATTATAAAACACTAGAAAGTTGAATCAACTCAACATGGGAATGCTTCGTTCTTAATATATATAACTTCGCACTGCAGTTCTGAATAAGATTTTAAAAGATTTTTTTTTCTCTTCTCAAAAATCTTGTGTAAAAGTAAATAAATAGTTGGTCACCAATATTTATAAGCTTCATCCTCAAGTATATATTTTTTTAAAATTAAAAAATGAATTCACACAGATGAGGAAATTGCAAACTGTAGAATCACCTATTTTCATGGTGTCAAATTTTTGTGATTTGTGGAAAAACTTCAAATTTTGTGTAGACTTTCGTACGTAGAGAATTGTTGAGTAGTTATGTATATGACATTTTACATATTGAGGTATACATGGATTTGTAGGTTTCTTCATACCTTGAAAAACAAGGAAAATTAACAACTCACAGAAACTAATGATTTCACAGTACCTCAGATGAGTGTGATTTATTATGGCTCTGCAACTCTTTTCTTTCACTTTTTTTGGGGGGGGGATTCCCTATCTGTAATATGATCCTCTATCATAGCTATTGTAAATTTTGGCCTATATCCCTACTCCTGGAGGTCGTGATTTGAATAATTGAATATACCTGAGGATGCTTCAATATAAATTTGACCAATCCCAGCTTTGTTGTTCTGAAGAAGCATTTTAAAGAATTTTCCTATCTATATTCATGTACCATATAAACTTGGCTAGTTATGTCCCCTCCCTACCTTTCTGGGTGAAGAACTGAACAAACTTTAATTTACACTATAGAGGATGCTTCCATATAAATATAACATATCATATGGCTTTGCAATTCTTGAGAAGATTTTTAAAGAATTTTCCTATGTAAACTCATGTAAAAATTTGATTCCCATTTATGGCTTTTCCCTGCCTCTAGGGATCATGATTTGAACAAATCTGAATCAACGCTCGCTTAGAATGTTTCCATAGAATTACGATTCACCATAGCTTTATTGTTTTTATGGAGAAGCTTTTTAATGATTTTTCCTATGTATGTACCTATGTAAAACTTTCATTACCCATTGTGGGACAACTGTAGACCCAGGAATCATGATTTGAAAATTGAATATTTGAATAAACGTGAATCTATATTATGTCATAGAGCTTTCTCAAATTTTGTCATTTTTAGCAAAAAGGTTCTTGTGAAGACTCTTAAATGACCCCTCTCACTTTATTTTTTCTTAATTATCTGCCCCTGAAAGATGGCAATGCCCTATATTTGAAAAAACTTGAATCCCCTTTTCCCCTTTACCTACCAATACTTTGTACCAAGTTTGGTTTAAATAGGTCCAGTGGTTCAAAAGAAGAGGATGAGATTGTAAAAAAAGTTTACAACAATAATGACTACAACAAAATAATGATGTCGGGCAAGGGACAAATTTTGATCAGAGAACTCACTTGAGCCTTAAGCACAGGTGAGCTAAAAATTGTATAACTGCTCACCACACCTGAATCCCCTTCATGCTTTGAAAGTTGGCTTGAAATTGGTTCAGTGATTCTGGACAATATATCAAATATCTGGAAAAAGTTTACTGGTGGACGGACAGACGATGAACAAAATTGTGATCAGAAATGCTCACCTTCAGTTTAGGAGATTTTAAAATGACAGCCACCAGTGACAGCATTCACAATGAAGTGTATGCAAGCATGTCTGTAACAACATCAAAATGAAATGTACTCACTTTAACACCTGTTTTCTCTCATCATTTCCTGATGCTTCAGTCTCCTTTGCTGTTTCAGACATTCTACTGAGGCAAAAATGACAATGTTTCATTAAATATATAGGATTTTTGTTTTGTAGATGTCAGGTTTTGAGTTTCTAATAGTTATTAACTTTTGAATGTCATTCTTCCGTTAATTTCACTGACCTGACACTGAATAACCAAGAGAAATCTCTGTAAGTAAGGCAGGAAAGCCATTGTAATCAAGACCTATTAATGTCAAAGTATTTTTTTTTCATGCGTACTTATCTAAAATCCATTAATAAGTCATCTTATTGGTGCAAATTCTTTTCTTTTCACCAATTTTTCTGACGCATTTGATAAAATATGACTTTGCAAGTTACTGTTCAATTAACACATTTAGGACCATCATTTCAGTTATACAGATCATGAGCATCCTTTGACATTTTATCAATAACCACAGAGATGTTCTTTATATGTGATTTGACATGATTAAATGCCATGAAAAGTTGAAATAGGATTAGTCTTGCAGATCTTGATATTTCTTCATATTGGAGCAGGTATGTATTTTCAACCCCTCAAAAACTATTGTGAATCTTGGTTAATAATAGATGTATTTAATTATCAAATTTAGACCATAAAATACTGACATTTTAGTTTTTTTTTTGTGAATTAACTACAAACCTAATGGTTGTATTGGGTTTTCTTGGAGAAAAAAATTTCAGTGTTACTGTAAATCACTTTTAATTTGCGAGAACTAATTACGCGAGACAGTGTGCTCGCAAAAATTTAATTCTCGCGTATAATAGTATTCCTTAAGATTATATAGAGCAATAGCCACAATTCGTGAAATTTTGTCTCGCTAATCAATAGTCAATGACTATCTCGCGAAAATAAGGTGTCGCGAAAATTTAGTGATCTACAGTATATATACCTTAATTTAGCATCAATTTCATGTAGTTTTTATAATAATATATATGTGGACCTGTCAGCTACATGTAATGCTTTAGTGTCAAGCCCTACTTAACCTTGCATGTAGCTGCAGATCTGTAGCGTTATGTTTTTATATATTTGTCTTTTCAAGACCATAACGCTACAGATCCTGTAATGCAAAAAAGGTGCAATTTACGGCGCAATACTTTCTGTGCACTTTTGGGGAGAATTTCTCCACTTTCAAGCATTGGTCAATCAACTACTTTTCACTCCCTAATTTTAGACACATTCTGTAGCCAATATGTATATTTTATCCACCTTTCAACCATTTATAGTTGTCTCTACAGGCAATAAAGTCGCTAGAAGTGAATTTTCAGCAATATAACAAATAATTTTACTCAAGCGAATTCAATACTTGTAGAGACGAGTATAAAGGGTTGGGAGCTGTATAAAATACACATATTGGCTACAGAATGTGTCTAGAACTAGGGAGTGGAAGGTAGTTGATTGACCAATGCTTGAAAGTGGAGAAATTCTCCCCGAAAGCGCGCAAAAAACATTGCGCCGTAAATTGCACCTTTTTTGCATTACAGGATCTGTAGCGTTATGGTCAAAGTATATAAAAACCAGAATGCTACAGATCTGCAGCTACCTTGCATGGTACACAGAAGCTTACCAATATTCTTTTCACTAGTTAATGTTAAAAACTACCTGGTACCCAAAAGTACATAGATTACAAAAGTTTCAATGTTTAGTTATTTAACAAGAGGCCCACGGGCCTTATAGGTCACCTGAGCATTATGCAACAACTTTCCAGTTACAGTGTATTGAATTTGATTTATGTTTTAAGCCAGATGCTATATGGCATTCACAATTTTGAAAGGGCACCATTGATCATCATAACAATAAACTTAGCAGTTGCTTAGCTTGGTTACTGAATACCCATACCCAGGGTAGGGGAACAAAAATGCACTCCAACTAATCAGTAATATTCATCAATAATCAGTAGTGCCCCTAACACTCTGACATAAACCCCTGACCCTAGGTTGCACAAAATTTTAAAAGGCACCCTTAAAATTGCCTATCAAAAAGTAAATAAATGTTTTATAAATACAAAGGACCAGATTTCAAACAATTAATTCATTTTCAGTATATAAGTAGAGCCCCCCCCCCCCCACCCCTGACCCTGGGGCCTTGAAATTCACAATTCTGCAAGATTAGCAGAGCTGCCAACATTCTGAAATGACAAATAGTAAGGCGGGGTCTAGGGACCACCTAGGCCCCCTACCGCTGAAGATGTTTTGTAAATGGACATGTAATCTGAGGCATGTTTCCATTTTGTTTACTTTAAAACATTGACATGAATGTGATCGGTCTTCTAAAACCGAAACGATGATACAAGCGAGCGTTGTAAAAATTATGAATATATTATAATAGTAGAAACTATATAGGCTGCCAGCTATGAAAATACCGGTATTATAAACTTTGAACAAGAAAAACTGAAATCAGAAGAATATAGACAGAAATCGTTAGGCGTATTTTAGACGCTGATTTCGTACGCCTTACGCCAAAATCGTAAGGGTTGGCAGCTCTGGATTAGGGCCCTTGCTCATCATAACTATATAGATAGTTCATCTGCTTCATACCCAGAGACAGAGAAGAAAACTTTCAAAGATTTAATGTATTTTCACTATATAATCAATAGAGCCCCACCCTAACACCAGAACCCCAGACCCTGGGGCAATGAAATTCATAATTTTAGAAGAGGCATTCTTGCTCATCATAACTATGCACTTACTTAGTTTATTTAATACCTAGGAGCAGAGAAGAAGATGTTCAAAGAATTCATGTATTTTCACTTTATAAACAATAAAGTCCCCCCCCCCCCCCCCCACCACCAGAACCATTGACGCTGGGGCCATAAAATTCACAATTTTTGTAGAGGCACTCTTGCTCATCATAACTATGCACTTAGTTAGTTTATTTAATACCTAAGAGCAGAGAAGAAGATTTTCAAAGAATTCATGTATTTTCACTTTATAAACAATAAAGTCCCCCCCCCACCAGAACCATTGACGCTGGGGCCATAAAATTCACAATTTTTGTAGAGGCACTCTTGCTCATCATAACTATGCACTTAGTTAGTTTATTTAAGGTAGGTCGCGGGTTTACTGCATAAAATTTCTTACGAGAAAACATATCCTGAAAATTTGATAAAATGTTCCTTAGAATTTAAAGCGTATTATCTGCAATTTTTATTGAATTTGCCTAAGTAGTTTTAATGTTATAGTACTGTAAACGCGGTATAGTTTTTAATCCTTTTTGACGCTTTTACCATTGAAATATATGGGAAAATGACGTTTTTAAGCCAATTTTGTGAAAATAGTTTCTTTTAAAAAGGTTGGATAACTTTTTAAAGATGTAGACGAATTATTCAGGAATTTCAAAATGTCAAGATGAGGTTAAATCAAAACCATTAATATAAAAAAATCAATATGTCTTCTCGCTAGATTTTTTGCTAAATAATTTCAAAGTTTTTTTTAAATGCTAAAATTTGGCGTTTATGGCGTTATTAATATCTACGACGTCATTTGTTCAACGTAGTCACGTTTACAGTACGAGTATAAATATATTGACCTATGGAATATGCACGAATTAAAAGGTGATATCGATACATTTATTGCGGAGACATATTAGGATGACCAGCAACTTATTTTCACTAGTATTGTGAAATTTATATTCTGATCACAAAGTCAGAATGAACAATATAAATAATCCTCGTGCAGCGATATTAACATGCAGCGACAATGTTCACCGCGAGTGAAAAAATATTAGTACCTGTATTTTTAGGAAATGCATGTCAATAGGATTTCAGGCATAAAACAAAAATTTCATCACTTTACTTGAAAACGGTAGGAAAAACATCCCTATAATGAGGAAATAAGAGGGCGGGGGGGGGGGGGGGGGGGGGGGGGTGGGTGGGTACCTGCAATGTTCTTTCTATATTAGTCGCAAGCTATAGTATTTGGCTTTAAATTTCAAGCATTTTTTAATTTCGAATTTTCTGAATTAAATTTCAATACGCAAAATGTAAAACTTGCATTTAGCTTTTACACGTTGAGCTTTTGTCATAAAAAACATATAGAAAAAAATTATACTTGTAAATTGTTTTCAGTGTTTTGTATGTCTTAAAATCCAGGTGTTTGAATACATTTGATTTTTAAATGCATTTTCACAATTTATTAGCAAGCAAAACAAGGCGAGTGCACGAGATTTAAATACATAACAACCAACCAATATCAATAATGATAATTAAAAAAAAAAACAGGAAAATACTTGTAATTAAATATAACTCGTTTTTAGTGATGTGGATTAATTTCCATCCTGAAAAGTATACGCATATTTTCGCCCCGGCTTTGATTGAAGTCAAGTTCCTCTGAGTTTCAAATAACTTGCGCACATACAATCCCTCAAGTTCCTCGCTAAGCAATTTTTTTATTCATGATAACTTTCTGCAAGCCATAACTTTTACGCTGATTTATTCTGATTGACTTTTAGCAGTTTAGTTACACTTCAAATATATTTTATTGCTTTCATTTGGTATTGTATTTAATTTTTCCGAAGACATTACATATAGTCACACCAGAATTCAGACTGAAATTTAATTATAATACATACGAGGTTTACGTACATAAGCATGCACTTTGTGTTAAATCTACTTTTAAATTCATACAGACTTGAAGTCATTTGCAGAGAATTAAACGGGAAACAACGTGACGTTGCCTTTGTGACGTAACTGACGTCATAATCAAATGTGCACAAAACAACCGCTCGAATCGTCAAAATTGTGTACCAAAATTGATGACAAAAGCAAACCCGCGACCTACCTTAATACCTAAGAGCAGAGAAGAAGATTTTCAAAGAATTCATGTAATTTCACTATATAATCAATAGAGCCCCCCCCCCCAACACCAGAACCCTTGACCCTGGGGCCATAAAATTCACAATTTTGGTAGAGGCACTCTTGCTCATCATAACTATTTACTTACTTGGTTTATTTAATACCCAGGGGCAGAGAAGAAGATTTTCAAAGAAATCATGTATTTTTACTATATAATCAATAGAGCCCCACCCTAACACCAGAACCCCTGACCCTGGGGCCATAAAATTCACAATTTTGGTAGAGGCACTCTTGCTCATCATAACTATGTACTTAGTTGGTTTATTTAATACCAAGGAGCAGAGAAGAAGATTTTCAAAGAAATAATGCATTTTCACTATATACTTATTTAGCCCCGCCCTAGTACTAGAACCCCTGACCCCAGGGCCATGAATTTCACAATTTTGGTAGAGGACTCAATGCTGATTACAATCATGCAAATAGTTTGACTGCTTGATGTCCAGGAGTAAAGAAGAAGATTTTTAAAGATTGCATTAATTTTAGTGGTTTTGGCCCCACCCCTCAGGCCCCAGGGGGGCAGGGATCATGAAATTCACAATTTTTGTTCCCCTTCACCCATAGATGCTTTGTGCCAAATTTGGTTGAAATTGGTTCAGTGGTTGCAGAGAAGAAGCTGAAAATGTTCAAATGTTAACACACGACACACGACGGACGACGGAGGACGAAAACGGATAGCAATAGGTCACCTGAGTTTACTCAGGTGACCTAAAAAGACACCTACCTTCTCACAAGCCAATTTTTTCTTCATATAAAAGACAGCCATAGAACCATTTTGGTAAATACTGAAAAAGAACAAGACACATATAAAATAGATATATATGATAGAACATTATTGTTGCAACTGAAAAATATCATTAAGGCCAAAAAAATTGATAAATTGTTTCTCAGGCACCGCCGCATCAGTTCAAAAATGGCCGCATTGATCAATTTTATTGACATATGGAAAAGGGAAATAACCCAATTTTCTATTTTTCCAAGTTGAAAAAGAAAATCCGAGTTATTGCCCTTTTCATAAATGCTAAGATAGACATTTTTATTAGAACCAGAAGTCTCTGTCGAGACTGTAGCTCTACTGGTTTGTACTTATGACAAAGGATGAGAAAAGAAGCAATTGCCATCAGGAATTTCACAGACATTTCTATTTTTAGTAACAACAGCAAAACTGTTCATCGAAATCAAAAACTGATGCGCTATTTTATGTATCTTAGTGTAGTCTTCTTGTGTGCAAAGTAATACTGAAATCAGACCATAACTGTAGAAGGAGTAGCGTTTTAAAGGAATTTCACAGAAAATTCTGTTTTTAGTAACCATGGCAACACCGTTCATCGAAATCAAAAACCGATGCAATATTTCATGTATCTCAGTGTAGTCTACTTGTGTGCCAAGTAATATTAATATCAGACTAAAACTGTAGGAGGAGTAGCGTTTTAAAGGAATTTCACAGAAAATTCTATTTTTAGTAACCATGGCAACACCTTTCATCAAAATCAAAAACCAATGGACTATTTTATGTATTTTAGTGTAGTCTGCTTATGTGCCAAGTTATATTGAAATCAGACCAAAAGTGTAGGAGGAGTAGCGTTTTCAAGGAATTTCACAGAAAATTCTATTTTTAGTAACTATGGCAACACCTTTCATCGGAATCAAAAACCGATGCACTATTTTATGTATCTTAGTGTAGTCTATTTGTGTGCCAAGTTATATTGAAATCAAATGAAAACTGTAGGAGGAGTAGCATTTTAAAGGAATTTCACAGAAAATTCTATTTTTAGTAACTATGGCAACACCTTTCATCGAAATCAAAAACCGATGCACTATTTTATGTATCTTAGTGTAGTCTACTTGTGTGCCAAGTTATATTGAAATCAGATGAAAACTGTAGGAGGAGTAGCATTTTAAAGGAATTTCACAGAAAATTCTATTTTTAGTAACCACGGCAACACCGTTCATCGAAATCAAAAACCGATGCACTATTTTATGTATCTTAGTGTAGTCTACTTGTGTGCCAAGTTATATTAAAATCAGACCAAAACTGTAGGAGGAGTAGCGTTTTGAAAAATTGTTTACAGACAGACGGACAGCTAGACAGACAGACGGACGGACGACGGACACCTTACTATCGCATAAGCTCTTCTGGTCTCTGACCAGTAGAGCTAACAAGAGGCCCATGGGCCACATCGCTCACCTGAGTACTGTAGCTTAGAAAAAGTAGAAATTGGTTTATTATTGAAAAGTTAAAATCCAAAAGTAATCCCATGATCAATCATGGATTTGCTATTCTTCAAAGAATTTTCCCATATATTTCTATGTAAAACTTTGGTCGGCCATTATGGCCCCGCCCTACCCCCTGGGGTCATGATTTGAACAAATTTGAATCTACACTACCTGAAGATGCTTCCATATAAATATGATGAATAATGGCTTTGTCATTCTTGAGAAGAAGATTTTTAAAGAATTTTCCCATTAATTTCTATGTAAAACTTTGGTCGGCCATTTTGGCCACGCCCCATCCCCGGGGGTCATGATTTGAACAAATTTGAATCTTCACTACCTCAGGATGCTTCCATATAAATTTGATGAATTATGGCTCTGTCATTCTTGAGAAGAAGATTTTTAAAGAATTTTCCTATATATTTCTATGTAAAACTTTGGTCGGCCATTTTGGCCCCGCCCTACCCCCGGGGGTCATGATTTGAACAAATTTGAATCTTCACTACCTCAGGATGCTTCCATATAAATTTGATGAATTATGGCTCTGTCATTCTTGAGAAGAAGATTTTTAAAGAATTTTCCTATATATTTTTATGTAAAACTTTGGTCAGCCATTTTGGCCCCGCCCTACCCCCGGGGGTCATGATTTGAACAAATTTGAATCTTCACTACCTAAGGATGCTTCCATATAAATTTGATGAATTATGGCTCTGTCATTCTTGAGAAGAAAATTTTTAAAGAATTTTCCTATATATTTCTATGTAAAACTTTGGTCGGCCATATTGGCCCCGCCCTACACCCGCGGGTCATGATTTGAACAAACTTGAATCTTCACTACCTGAGGATGCTTCCATATAAATTTGATGAATTATGGCTCTGTCATTCTTGAGAAGAAGATTTTTAAAGAATTTTCCTATATATTTCTATGTAAAACTTTGGTCGGCCATTTTGGCCCCGCCCTACCCCTGGGGGTCATGATTTGAACAAACTTAAATCTACACTACCTGAGGATGTTACCCCATAAGTTTCATCTTTCCTGGCACAGTGGTTCTTGAGAAGAAGATTTTTAAAGAATTTTCAATATATTTCTATGTAAAACTTTGGTCGGCCATTTTGGCCCCGCCCTACCCCCGGGGGTCATGATTTGAACAAACTTGAATCTACACTACCTGAGGATGTTACCCCATAAGTTTCATCTTTCCTGGCACAGTGGTTCTTGAGAAGAAGATTTTTAAAACATGCCACCAAATTTTCATTAATTCCCAATTATCTCCCCTTGAATGAGGGCGTGGCCCTTCATTTGAACAAACTTGAATCCCCTTCACCCAAGGATGCTTTGTGGCAAGTTCGGTTGAAATTGGCCCAGTGGTTCTTGAGAAGAAGTCGAAAATGTGAAAAGTTTACAGACAGACAGACAGACAGACGGACAGACGGACGCCGGACAAAATGTGATCAGAAAAGCTCACTTGAGCCTTCGGCTCAGGTGAGCTAAAAACTATATCTTTCTTCTAAATCTACAGTATTTTATAAGTTAACTTTTAAATAAATGTTTGGAATAACATTATTTAAAGTTGAATATATATTATAACTAATTTCAGAGAACAAAACTTAAGAGTTAGTAGATATCATGATTTTATTGAACAAATGACTTTTAAAAAAGGTGTAGACTACATCCTGCTTCAAAAAAAAAAAAAAAAAAAGCCTGCCTGCCACATTGAATTTAGATTTTTTTTGGCCTGAGAAACAATTTATTAATTTTTTTTTGCCTAAATCTTGATGCTAGTTTTAATTTCATTTCACCTGCAATTTTATTTTCTACAAAAAATTAACACATGTGAACAAATCATAGTTACATATATATACACAACAAAATTAGTGAGATTTTCTTAGATGTATAAATTTAATCATATAGGAATTAATAAATATTTCTTGATTTAACATCTACTAGATAAAATTTTATATTAAGATACAAGTTTTATTAAGAGTGAACAATTTTTTTTTTATCAAGTTAACTAACTAGTCTTGCAACATAAGTTCTCACAAAACAATATAATAGTGCATCTAAATTTATGAACGAACAAAGAATTGCAACTGTTTCATAGTGATTAATTTGTGATAAATTTGGACATCCTGAGAATCTCTGAAATAAAACCATTTAATAAGATGTACAGCACCTGACAGAATGTCATGGAAAACTTGATTTAATTGGTAGTTAAACATACAATTATCCTTTAGATCTGCAGTCTATTGTTGCTTTGTAGAACTCTTGGCGAATGAAGAAACAACCTCATTTTTAATACATAAATTCAGGTAAATGCTGTACTTATTTTGTTATTTATAAACATTCAATGAATCTACTGTATTTTCTGATTTCAAAGTTATATCTCTTAACTCCATAGAAAAGCATGTTCAGAAAGGAAAATACAGTAAGGGACCTAATATTAACAGGATAGGCAACTCTCACAAGTCTCAAGATATCTCATCACTTACAGGATTTCAAGTGTCAATTTGACTTCTAATGCTATGAAATATTTCAGAACAAAACCTTAATTTCTCTGTCAAAAAATTATTCAAGATATGTTGTTTGTATTGTTTACACTCCTTATCATAGCAGTACTAAGTAAGTTTATCTTAAAACCAACACATGCCCCTCATCAACAATTTGCCGATTTTGGAGGTTTTTTTTTTTTTTTTTTGCTTTGAATTTTTAAAAATCATAATACAATATACATTTTGAGATTTATTAAAAATCCATTCCAATAAACAAAAAGAACAGATTGCATTTCCCATAAAACAGAATTTTTACAGAGAGTAAACAAACTTCGAACAACTTATACTGTTGTAACATTTTGGGAAAACAATCTGGCTGTGAAGGAGTTGTCTATCCTTTAAGTACACCGTATAATCCCTATTAACCGCCCCTGCCCCTATAAGCGCCCCCTTAGGTATTTTTTAATTGTCAGGAAATAAGGGCCCCCTGTACATTTATTAAAATCAACTAGAATTGTATCAAAAAAATTGAGGACATGCAGTGAAAGTAAAACTTGTCTATCATCAGATTTCTCAGTGGAAAATGACTAATTTAGCATAATTTGGGTGGATTATCTTCACTTTCAGTAAAGCTAGAAATTACTTTAGTGGTTCTTTGTATTTATTTTTTTTTCAACATCTTTTTTCAAGTTAAAAAATGACATTAAATATCATAAAGAGAATACCAAAATAACAGCCCCCTTTTTGCAATTTTCTAAGGCGCCCGGGGCAGTTAATAGGGGTTTTATGGTACTTGTCCCTGATAAGGTTAATTCTTTTAATTCTGCTTGTGACAAATTGAGAGAGTAAACCAAGACAGACAGAACAGTTATTTATCATAGAACTAGTAACAGTTAACAGGGTAAAATTAAAGTTGAACACAATACAAACAGTCCAGAATTGTTCCAATAACATATAGCTACTAGAAATTACTTATACCTCACTTGTATCAACAGTCTGTTAATAGGAAATAATGCACGAACAGCAAAATATTGAAAACACACCCTCCCATGAACTTGCTTTTTTCCCGAATTCACTCTCTCACATTTCAGATGTCAACTTACTATTATTCATATCAATATCAGTATATTGAAGGTTTCTTTACACATAGTAAATATACGCAACAAAACGCAATATGCACTTAGTCGCATTGGTAATGAGGATTTGACCATCTGCCAACAGAACGATTTTCACACCTACTTCTAAACCATTTGATATTCTACAACATGTCAACATGTTAATCTTCAAGAAAATATCGTGAAGATATACTTCACATGGCCGAGTTTTAATGACAACCACATTTACTGATCAAATATTACAAACAACTTCGCAGCTTACACTGACCTACCACAAAACAAGCCGCCATATTGGAAATTGACTTCATTTGCATATCTCGTAACTTATCGCAAACACATTTCTTCGATATATGCGTATTTGCAACAAATGATCAGTTAGCATATGTGAAAATAGTAGCTGGGTGCATACTGGTAAATAATCTGCTTATATCTCTCATTAAAATGTCAAAGATCCCAAAATTTCAGTTCATGCATAGCTCAGCTCATTAAGTGACCGGAAGTTGAATTTTTTGTAGTATTCGAAACAAACATGCACTGTAAGACGAAATGATATAATATTATCAATTTTAAGTGGGCCGACTATAGTTTTATTGTGTGAAAACTACAATAGCGAAACTCTTCAAGTGTATACCATATATAACTTACATTAACTTCAGTGTACATGCAAAGTTTGGGGGAAATCTACCGTCCAGGTATTTCTGAGGGACTGTCTCAAAATACGGGTACATTTACTATAGGATTATATAGGAAAATGCCAATTTTTAGCACTTTAAAGCAAATTATGCAAATACTACAATAGACATTTTGTTCAAACTATAATATTTGATGAGTAATAATATATTATACAATATATGTAAGAAACACAAAATTCTACCGTCTTGTTACCAGAGGGGGCATCTCAAAATGCAAAAAAATTAGCAAATTTTACTATTTTTATAGAGTATTACAAAATATGACGTACACAATGGATTCACATGAAAACATAATAAAAATATTGGAAATATTCTCAAATTTCTATGTTTTAAATTTCAAGAGCGTATGTTTATTACTTTTTCTTTAATAATATTTTTATTACCCCTTTCTTTAAGAGCTACAGATTATCATAACGTCAAAAACAGACTGCAACGACGTCAACCTACCTATCAATTGCAAAATCGGTTAAAAAATCAGTTATGTCAAATTGTAATTACATTTTTATACCTATAATTTCTTAATTTTGTTTAATTTTAATAATTAAGCAAAAAAAGTTGCATTAAAACAGTAAATACGCTTCATTTTACTATGATGCGCGAAATATTGCGCAATAGAAACTATAGTCGGCCCCCTTAAATAATAACATACAAAAATATACGAGGGTTGTCCCGTAAAATCGTGGACAAGTTGTCTAGTGTGAAAAATAAACATCACTGCGTTCTGAAATTTTCACTATTTTTTAGTACATATTTAAATAATATACACAGCAAATTTCAGATAAATATATGCATAAATAAACAAATTATGAGATTTTATGCCATGTATTATATCACCTTACGGCGCATGGATTATAACGAAAAAGTGTCTAAAACAGCGTCACGTTTTATTTTTGCTGAAAATGAAGTTGGATGAGTCCGACTTAAATTCAGGAGTTTCATTGATACACATTCTTTAGTCTCCATAAACAGCCGAAGAACCAATTGGCATCCTCGTGCGATCTTCTGAAGATTTATTAGTAAGTTACTAACAATATTCTCACCATCATTCAACTAATAGAAAATCTCATATCGGCGGTCTACTGTGACAGCGTCTTTTGCTATTACATTAGGAGTTTGTCCGTATGTTTTGTACTCCCCAGGGACTCGATAAAAAAAACTTCGCTAAGAAAACTCCTAATTCATTTGTATACTTAAGATATGGTGATATTTTTATAATCTTTTTTCATCTATGGTCATTTAAAGTCTCTAAAGGTGTCATTACAACATCGAAATAAAACTGAACTGTTCTCCGGTGCGCCGTAACGTCATAAAACGTCGCCATTTTTCGGGAGTTGTGTTTACCACTTTCCCATTTCGAATGCTCGAGAAACTGCCAAAAATTAAGCAAATGCCTTAATTTTTTTTACAAAGACAACAAATTTGATTGTGGAATTGAATTAGGATAATTTTAATCCAAATCTTATGTATTTAAAATTTTTATTTTGAATTCAAACTTGTGTTTTCTTAATCAAACCTTGGTTTTTTGACCGTGCGCCGTAGGGCAATACCTCGTGCACATTCAAGCATAATAAAATCTTTATTTTTGCCCATATTTTATCAAAAAAGTTATCTTGCACTTAAATATGATAAATAAACATTTACTGAAATTTTCAGCTTAATGCGCCCATTACTTTTCGAGAAAAACGCTTTGTCCACGATTTTATGGGACAACCCTCGTATAATGATATTGTATTATTATGAGCCACCATTATCTTGGTCCTTCTGTGTTTCGTCAAAATACCTTTAAAAGATTTTTCAGCCTCTGCAGTCAGAGACGTAATACATGTGCCATGTAAAATCGTTTGAAATGTAGCCCCTCCCGCCTTGCCCAGTGGATGTTTGTAAACTCTGGCAAATTTAGATCTACACTACACGAGTATTCATTATCAATGTGACTAATGTTACTATACTATTATAAAAAAATATTTTTAAAGGAACATAGAGACAGTTTCACCTGATTTTTTTTTTTAAATAATTTTTATTTTTACAATTTAATAGCCATTCTCTGTAACCACTTAAACTTCGTTGCCACGCATGGTCACCGATTTTGATGAAAGTTCACCCATGCTTAGTACTTGACACCAGAAACAAGTATCAAACAAAATTTTCTTGCTACGTGTCTCGGTTGCTATGGCAACAGCCGGAAAAGTTTGAAAAATCGAGATTTTAAGCCACTTTAAATCTTGACTGTGGCTTAATAAAAACTAGAAAAAGCAAAAAAAAACCATTCTCACAAAAACGTGACACCTTGATGTCACGTATACTGTAAAGAAACTGTTTAGAATATATCTCTAAGTAAGTGGTAACCAAGGGTTCATTTGGAATACATTTAAAATGCTGAAATATGCTGAAAAACACTCCGTATTCACTAATAGTAGGTGTTACATGCTCAAACTCAATCAACGACTTAAGAAAAACAATGAAAATGTTTGACCTTAAGTATATAAGTATAAACAATATTATTCTATAGATTACTTTTATGGTTGCCATGGTAACAGAGTGTAACCATGCAAAACCAGTAACTAAGATTGGGTTAATGCTACTGTCTTGAGGAAAAACATGAAAATTCAAGACTGGCAAATATGCATCCTTAGGAACTTGCAACACCAAAACCATAAGAAAAATTTGGTATAATTGCTACTTTGCAGTGTTACCATGGAAACAAAGTACCAGTGCTTAAAAGTGAATTATTTTTCGCTGCATTAAGAATTAAATTGCCATTTAATCAAGAAACAAATTAAAGGACTCAGCTTGAATAGTACTTATCTGTTAGAACTGAAGTTGAATATCATATATTGATAAAATTTGATGAATAAAACTACAATGTTGCTATGGTTACCAAGATGGGAAAATGTTCGATTTTGTGAACTTTATATCAATATCAAACCCTGTGTGCCAACTTCTTGCATCCACTTAGAGATTGGATGATAGTCAAAATTAAAAGTCAAGTTAGCTGTTAATAAATATCAATCATAAAAGTTTTGGGAATCTACATTTAAGGGTACGTATCCAAGGAAAGAAAATATTTTTCAGTTTTTAAGCATATATTTTCTGCTTATTTCCATAGCAACGCTCTATTTAAAGAATCTAATCTGAATTTTTTCAAATGGGAAAACTTAGAGCACACCAACATCTTATAAAATTAATCATTAGTTATGAGGAATTGTGCTTTTTTTAAAGATAGGATCAGATTTAAACATACAGAGTGTTACTTTGAAGGCTCTCTGTCGTACAAAAACCTTGGAAACCATTGCCAACCAAAATGAAATATCATATTTTGTTCTTGGTATATGTTACAAGGCTCTTTTTTCTATTATTTGGTCACATTTCATCCTATAATTGCTTTTAATTTTACCGTGTATGACTTTATAGAATTCAATGAATATTTTTTTTACTTTTGAATACTTTGTTACCATAGTAACGTATGTAATAGTTGATAAACCAAACATGTTTATCATGCATTTGAGAAATCTGACCTTCAACTTTTGGAAACAGTCATTGGCAATTGTTTGCTTTGCCGCAAATGTTAACTATGGGGCTCTAAACATGTTAAAAAATGCCATTTTTCGAACTTTAAGACATGTTGCCATGGTAACTATAAAACATAGCAACCAATTTTTGCCTGATTTTAGTTTAGGGTATCAATGAATTTTATCATAGAGAGTTTGGAGAAATTCTGATACTATGCGTGCCACAGCTCCTATATATAATTTCAAATCATTACAGAGAATGGCTCTTAACATGATCAGGGACCTATATACTAGTATATAGGTCCCTGATACGATCAGCAAAAATTTGAACATCATTTGTTGATTTACAAAGGAGATACAGAACTTGAAATTCTACAAAATGTAAACAATGCCCGAGCCTTGTTTTTGTTTACATATAAAAAATATATCTATAACTAAAAAAGTTTTGGAAAATTATTAGCAACTGTCTAATGGTATATAGAATTAACTTCTCTACTGAGAAAAAAATCTGTTTTGAACGAATGTATAGTATATCTAACCTATACAATCAAAAACATGACAGGGCCTTGTTTACATAACAAAGGTTTGGAGCTCTAAATCTGTATTGTATCTCGACAACTGAAATTCAAGTTTTTGATGATCATTGAAAATACATTAATTAAATATTTTAAAACATTTATAAAAAAAAAATGGAAAAAAACAATTTTGAAAATATTCAGTTGAAACGGTGTCTATGTCCCTTTAAGAATATTTCCATTGAAATACACTGTATTGCAAAGATTGATTAAAAAGGCTATCCTTAAAAAATAATTTAAAGAATAGTCGTCAAATCTTAACGATTTTATTCTGCTAGATGTTTTTACGATTGGCAACACACGTTCATGAATTAAAAATAAAATTCAATTTTCACATACTTATATAAATTATATAACTATCTTACATTAACATGAGTATTGTCATCTTTATAACTGTTTTTTATTCTTTTACTGTAGTTGGAACAGCTGCATGTACGTTTGTACTATATTTCCGTTAAAGTCTAGACGATCATTAAAATACTGTCAAACTATCTCCTTCATAAAATTTCTCCTTCATTTAAAGTTAAGCAGCCAACTCATCTTTTGGCCGGAATATACTAGTAATCGACCCCTGTACATACGTTTGCAAAAAGATTTTGAATCCCCCCCCCCCCCATTTTCATCCTAATTGAAGCTTATCCCTCATGGGGGAAAAACCCGATCTTTTCTTTAAAAAAAAAACCTGATTCCATGAAACCCTTTCATACTCCAG